TATATATATTTTATATATATATATATATATAAAAATATAAACTTAAAAGCAGTTACATGTTGTAATAGCAAACTTCGAAGGCTTAGAAGAAAGAAAACAAATTATTAAGTTAGCAACTTAAATTATTGGATCACAGCTACCTTTAGTGTTTGTGGAATATTACTGAAATGACACCACTCTTCCAGTAAAGCAAAGAGGAAAAGATTCTTTGTCTGTCATGTTCTGAACATAAGGAAATGCAGCTGCTTGTGCATCTTTTCAGAAAGTGTGTTTTCCCAGTCATGTTTTAACTTCTAATTTGTTGTGCAGTAGCAATGGGTTATTTCCAGGGTAGAACAGTACCATTTTAAAGCCTAAGCTTTGTTTCGGAGAGAGTAACAGATGAACAAACAAAAAGTGCATCACCTGTAGTATCTGTGCCAAAAGTGAAGAGTTCTGTTCTGCACACTCCACTCTCCCCAGTCCATTTGCAAAATTTGCCTCCCAAATTCCACCCAGTTTTCTCCTGTTCTGCGTATGATTACTTAGGGCTGAGCCAGATCTCTAGGCTTTGGAAGACCCCTAAAGTTAAGTGTGTGACCCATAGATTCTGGCCTTCATTTTAAGGGTGTGTGTCCAAGAAGTTCGTAACAGTTTTTGTGAGGGAGTTCAACTTCTGGTTGTGTAATTTTCATTTAACCCATTCCGGTTGTGTGTGTGTGTGTGTGTTGTTTTTTTCCAGAGTGGTACTGGGAATGCCTTCTACGACCATGGTTTTACAGGGTGCTTGCCGTTGTTCTGGCCACATTCTCTGTCATTGTTGTGTGGTCAGAGTGCACCTTTTTCAGCACAAAACCAGTTTTATCACTGTTTGCAGTTTTCATACAGCTGGCAGAAAAGACATATAACTATATATACATAGAGGTAAGTTTGAGATAATCACTTAAGAAAAATTTTCCAGGTAACTTGTTACCACAGCATTTCAGAAGGTCTCTAGAACATGTGGCACCAAACATTGTTTCTGAGGAGTGAGTCTGCCTTTTGCCACTTTCTTAAAACTCTCCAATGCAGGGTGAGGGTGTGACCCAGTTGAACTGAATATCATGTGTGGAGTAATCTGTGAAACATTAACTCGGAGCTTTGTGTCTAGTCAGCCATGTGTGACCTCTTTTTCCTAAACAGGAATTTGCTGCTTACCAGAAATCCACTCTCAGGTGTAGCTAGCATATGCATGTACAAAGCTATCAGTAAAGGAACTGAGCTGAAAAGTTCCAGTATATTAACAAAATAGGTTGAATTGAAAAGACTTATTTTTATCTCTTTTTGTGGGAAGAAATGCCAAATCAGTCATAGTAATTATCAACGTAATTACAGCAATTTCATTTACATAACAAAAAGTAGAATAAATATTCCAAGGGTCAGTTGTCGTTATATGAAATGCAGGATGTTACAAGTATACTTCTCAATTTAAATTGGTGAAAAAATCTCCTGAAGTTTCTTGGAGAAGGTGAGAGCTGGTGTTACTGTCCCATCTCAAAATAAAAATCAGACTGCAGTCAGCCTATTGCATGCACAGACTATGTGCTGAATGCATTAAAACCTTTAGTAGAGTTCTACATTGAAGTGACTTTTTCTTTTTTTTTCCCCCAGATGGCCTGTTTTCTTACCATCTTTTTCCTAAGTATCTGTGTTTACTCTACTGTCTTCAGGATCCGTGTATTTAACTATTATTACTTAGCTTCACATCATCAGACAGATGCATACAGTCTCCTTTTCAGTGGCATGTGAGTATGTGGCATATATTTTGCAGATTTTCTGTCAGATACTCAGTTGAAGATGTCCACGAAAGTTTCGTTTATATTCTTTCATTTATAATCATATGGGTATGAATCCTAATGATATATCATTATTCTGTGATATATCAGATTATGACTTCTGAATATTATTACTGCAATAAATTGGTTTAAATGCTGTTGCTTCTTGCTTTGTGTAGGTTATTTTGCCGTCTGACTCCACCATTATGCTTGAACTTTTTGGGCTTGACCCACATGGATGCAACAATCTCTCACAAAAACACTCAGCCAACTGCTTATACATCTGTAAGTACAGAAAATGTGGATTTGAGCTGTCTATATGATTTGGAAAATAGACACAATATTTTAAAATATTTCTTATATTAAGATTCAGATATTGAAGTATTTTCATTAGTATCACGCAGGGTAGAAATACTAACTTATAGTTCAGTAATGATTGCCTGGAGTCATCAATAGCTCAATTTTTCTGTTTAGGTCTCTTTATCCTAAGAAAGAAAAGTATTATTGTGAAGAGTTCAGACTGTTCTTCACTTCCTAAAAGCTTTAGATTCCTCTAGTTTTAGCATATGAGGCATCTTCATAGACTAGGAGCAAGCCTAACTTGCCACTAAAAACCAGTGAGTTTGGTTTTAACTGGACCACAGTTTCTGCAGCACAGCAGGTTACATCTCGTGTCTCTGTTGTTAGCAAGTGGATTCTTAGTGTTGCCCAGAGACTCCTTTCACAGCAGAAGAAAAACGATGCACTGGATTTGAAGTGGTTCTGGATTAGGTGAGACAAGAAGATCAAGCATCTTAGAAACCTCAAAGTGAACACACTGTTAGTGGCAACGTTTGTATCTGCTTATTCTGGGTCAAGTGTCTGAATCAGATCTGTGATAATGATACTTACCAATTTTCAGTAAGTGTAAAGGATTGTGTGTTTGTGTGTTGTGAACTGAAAACCGTAAAATGGGACATCTGTATGGATATATGTAGAAAATATCTGATTATAGCTTGTTCTTGGATTTTTTTTTCCAGATAATGGGATCCATGAGAGTGCTGTCCTTCATTGCAGATGGATTCTATATATATTACCCAATGCTTGTTGTCATTCTCTGTATTGCCACATACTTCAGGTAAGTTACATGCAAGACAGATCCTCCGTGTTTCTTTACATTAATAATACTAGTTTCAGTGATCAGTGAGATATTCTTTTTTCCTTTTCCAGCAGTTGAGTTATGACATAATAACAAAAATGCAAAACCTAGACCAATACATAGCTATTTACATATGTGAAATGTAAACATTTCAAGAATATTTATTATATTAGCTCATAACTGAGTTGTGGGGGCTTTTCCTCCATTAAACTTCATTCCTAGATTTTGAGGTCAAATCTGTTCAAACTTTGGAGCCTGCAGACATTTAGATTCTGCTGTTTAGATTAAAATTACCATGAGGAAACTGTTTTCAGCAATGTTCTCTAATAAACTAAGAAGCATTAACAGAAACTGTAGTTAATAAACTTTCTATTTGACACAACTATTTTCTGATCTGTACCAGACTTCAGCTTGAAAATATAGTGGTTTAAATCATTTGATCTTGTTTCCCTAAGGCACAATTGGTTGAAGACTGTAGGCATAGTTTCAGAAAATACTGTTATATGCTTGCTTTATCCTTACTTTTCAAAGTGTTTACTTTTGAGTGCTGTAAGGGTTGAGATACTTTAGGTCTGCTCAGCTACATTTATATTCACTTCGTCAATTTCGCATGACTCAAGTAGAATGTAGTAAAATGCCTTAAAATGTCCGTAAAAACCTATGTGCATCCATAGATAGTAAGACAACAAGGATCCTGTCCTTATTTTCTGTGCCTACTTTTAGGTTAGGGTACAAAAATGGTGGTGGAGGGGAAAAAAACAACAAATAAAAAAAAAAAAACAGGAAAGCCACCACCAAGAAAATAATTTGTGTGACTTGTTGTCCGTGATCCTGGGTCTGGAATGCCATAGTGAAAAGGAAGAGAAGAAACTAAGGAGAGGAGCTTGCTTTGCAAGGACTTCAATGCCCTCTAATATTCAGGTGCATGCAAAACACTGATTAAAATCGATCAAGGAAAGCTGTCTCCTTTGTTCAGTGCAGCAGTCTTAAAGTTCAGGTAGTATAGTAAAAAAACCTTTTCAGCATAAATATACAATTAAGCCAACTTTGAACATGATACCGATGCTCCAGTTTGGATAAAACCAGTAACAAAACCAGCAGTTGTGTTCTCAAGTGTGATGTTGGAAAGGTGAAAGTAGTTTAATGCTGTCTGATTCAAGGACTAGGTTAAAAAAGGTGGAGCAAGCTTATTATCTGACTGCTGCCTAATGGGTATTCAGCCAGCATCCCTGCAGCTTAAGAGTATGGCAGACGTTTCTTCCGAGTGAAACCTGAGATGAAGGTGGCTTTCCTGATATTACTGTTTCAAAACCACAGAAATCTTAATAGGCAGAATCTTTATAGTAATTGTCTTCTGGCAAAGAAGAGTCAATGAGATTGTTATATCTGAGAACATTTCAAGCAATTCTCTTATCTTAAATTGCTCCTCTCGGACTCTGAACAGTGTTATCCCTCAATTTGAATAGCAATATTCCATCACTTTCAATTGGATTTAGGAACATGTCACTGTTGTGAATTTTCTGATTTCTCAGTATAGTAATTTGTCTTTTCTTCTATATTGCTTTATTACTTGAGTTGTCCATCAATTTCTGAGTAATTTGTTTTACGTTTTGCATTGTAATATCTCTAAATTATTCGCTGTAAGTTAACAAACAAAATTGCTTCTCCTGCTTTACCAGTTTAGGAACTCGTTGTTTGAATCTTTTGGGATTCCAGCAGTTCATGGGGGATAGCGAAATGACCTCTGTGGGAAAGAGCTAATCAGAAGAGGTAAGTTAGGTTGTCTACCCTAGTATGTCTACAGAGTACATCCATGTTGTTGCAGGAAGCTTATCTGAAATGTTGCATGAACTCATTTGAATCTTCCTTTGTGTAGTATGTAAATTGAGCTGCCCAAACTCTGACATCTCTTTTACAATTTATTGCTGTTTGACTTGACTATGTTTTATCACAGAAAGCATGTTGTTCTGTAGAGCCATAATTATCTGCTGGTTTGGAAAGCTTTTTATTTTTTAATGTTAATTCATATTGAAAGTGTTTCTTGAAAGTTGTTAAAAGCTATGAGTAGAAATTAAAATCTCTGGGTACAATGTTATATTGTGGAATACTTTTATTCTTCTTTCATAGTTTACAAAAAAACCTAAATTTAGTTAGAGTAGTAGGTCTTTTTGTTTGTGAGTTTGTTGGTTTTTTTTTTTTTTGAGAAAGAATCATGTCTCTCATTCCCTTAAACAAGAGGTTACTATTTCTTTGATGCTGTGATGTTACATTTCCAGCTTAATAGTAGATACAGACACAAACTATTTGGCTCGTAATTTGGGCCTCACAGAACTTCAGCAAGATTTTGATTGGATAATGCTCAAGTTTGTTCCTAACATCATACTTTTTCCAATGATTTTTTTGTTTTCGTTAGCCAGCATCCAAATGTCACACCTTGACCCAAGATACCATCATGATTAATTCATTCTAACAGGAAACTCCATAATGATAGACAAGCAGCTTTGTCTTTTGATTTCATTTAATTGTATGAGCTATCTATTTCAATAAGAATCTTAACTAGTTAACTTTGGATTTTCATCCAAATTTGTTTGTTTATTAAAAAAATTGTTAATAATTGTTTGTTAAAAAATACTGGTAATGATTTTTCTTGCATGGACCTCAGCTGTTTTGGTTTTTTTCTTATATAGAGAAAAGAAAACGACAAAGGCAGGAAGAAGGTGAAAACCGAAGAAGGGTATGAGATTGTTTTGGCTAATTACAATATAAATACACTGTAATATCTGATAGGATTTGCCATTGCTATTTAATTCAGCATGATCTGTTTCACAAAAATGTAAGTCCCCAATAATTGATGGAGTCAGTTCAATCTTGGAGAATAGTCTTGGCTAGGGCTGGCAGGGGCATAATTCACATTTTAATTTTAAAGAACGAGAGACAGGCTCTTGTCACACTACTTGGACACTTTTGTTACTCACTGTGCTGTGAGAACAGCGTATGCCAATAGGTATAATAAGCATTATAAAACAGTCCTGATTTCTAGGATGCAGAATAATCTTTTTATCAGTCTCTTATGTTGATACTACTCTGCTTGAAATAACTGTAGTTGCAGTGTCATCATGTTCACTAAAATAGGGACTATATACTCCTCTCAAACCTACCTGTTGCTTTCTGTGCTCATTGGAAAGTAATTGGCACAGATTTTTGTTTGTTTGCTTGTTTTCAGAGGAGGGAATTACATTTAAGACAAAATTATATTTTACCACTGAGTAACAAATAGAAAGTTCTATTCAAATCATACTTTTAGTGCATAATGAATTGAAAGATTTGTGAAGACAGTCAGTCCGGATAAAAAGTAATCCAGGCAGCTTCATTTTAAGGAGCTTCAGTTAACTATAGCTTTAGTTTTCCCTTTATTTATAACATTTGGAATTTAGTATAGAAAGTCACAAAGAGATCAAAAGGATGCATATGAAAAAAGAACTGACTAAAGGAAGAGAAAAAAGTTATCTGCAGAAAGGTAGGATAATACTGGGACTAAAACCTCTTGGCTTTTCAAGCTCAGGAATACTTTAATTCTGGATGACAGCCAGTACAATGAGGACAGATAGATCTTTCTTCGGATCTTCTTCCCATCGCATAATTTTAGAACTTGAATTTACTGTTTAAGAAAATAGTAGCAAATGCGTGCTGCATTTAGTATACACTGAAATTATTTAACATTAAGAAACTATTTTAGTTCAACAGCAAACTCAGTTTCAGCTGTTACCTGTTTTTTGAGTTTGCATTAAGTACTGTAGTGCTTTAATTCTTGAAACTCTTCAGGCTTTTGAGACAATTATCTTTTACTGGATCGTGATTAAATGTTTGATCCTTCTGCAGCTTAGAACTAACATGGCATAAATTAGTACAGTAACTTCGAGTATACAGTCCCTACCAGTCCATAATTTGGGATCTAGATATGAATCTGAAAGTTATTGTAACAATTTTATGGAAAAGTTGCTTTGGAGGAAAAGTTTGTGTTGAACCATGAAGCTGTTTCCTAATAAACGTATGAGATATCTTGTTCTTTAATATTTCATTATACTTGGTTCTAAAATGTTTGCATACTGAAACACGATGGGATGGAAACATAACAGAAAAGCAAGTTTAGTAAACATGGCCGGTCCAAATTTTTTTTGGTGCCATCTGCTTCTGTTTATTTTTCCATTCTACCACTAGATGGAAGTAGAACTTAAAAAAAGCAACCTTCCAACCATGATTTGGAGCAGTGTAGTGAACTTTGGGTGCATATTTAATACGTAGTTTGTTTTCTGCAAGTCTTTTTTCTAAAGGATAATTATGGTAACTGGTTTAGTGAAGGAATGTATCTTGAGTTTAAAATAAAAACCAAAAATTCTCCCTGTATCATGATAACTGTATCAAGATAACAGGAACACTTTTAAAGTATTGCTTTCATAGACTGATGTGCTTGACCAATTAGCTCTGCATTGCAGATCTGGAATATTTCTTGATCCTCCATAGGCTTTTGTTGTGTTGCTTTTTCCTTATCACTTACATTTCCTTATCTTTTTTTCCAGGAATGGAAGGAGCGGTATGGAAATAGAGACGATTCCACTAGAAACAGAGTTGTCCACACAGACCAAAAAGAATCCAGTTTCTCAGAGACCAATACCAATAGACGTAAGCTTTATGGGGTTTGTGGGGAGTTTGATTTGGTTTATTATTTTAATATCTTGTCTGCATCACTCTGACTATGTGAGTAGCTTCAAATATATTCCTTTTTGTCTTAGTTGATGTGCTTATATATTCCCTTCTATGGTACAATGCCATCTTGCCCATTAAAGCCAACTGAAAAGAGTACTCTGTTTCTTCCCATCTTCAGTGCTTCATCTAGTTGAGGTTGGGGAATTCTGGCTAGTTTCAATGACTTGGTCTTCTTATGGGGCATATAAAGACTGCAATGAGAGTAGCAGTTTTCAACAAAGAGATTTTATTTAGGGTATGTCTTGAACTTTGGAGTTTCAAATCTTAAATTTACCTCTTCTAGTTGCAAATCAGCTCTCCAGATGGGAATAATGAAATTGTCAGATAGAGGGCCAATAAATGAAAAATCAGTAATATATCACATGAGTGTATACATGTTCATTTAATAATGTCTGTTGGCAAAAAACTTCTTTGTGAATGCTGTATACTTCCAAACAGTTTGTCACAGTCTTAATGTTTTTTATGTATTTTGTGTGCTTTTGTAAGCTAATGACAAGTAAGAAATGAAATTTAAAAAAAAGAAGGGAAAAGTTGGAGGAGAAGGGAAGCTTTGAACATGCTTTTGAGACAACTCTGATAGACTTCCCCCTCCTCTTTACAAAGTTGGAAACTCACATTTTCAGAGATAGACTAACTGAGATTATATTAACTTATATTTTAATGTTGACTGAAGGAGTATGTGGCATTTCAATACTGAAACAAGGTGCAGGTACCGGCCTAATGAAAGTGGCAGAGTGAGCTGCAAAAACCACTATATTTCATTAGTTCAAAAGGTTGTCTCCTTAAAAACAATCAAAACAAAAAACAAAAAAAACCCCAACCCTTCAGCCAGCTCAATTAAAGTGGGAGGTTGGGAAGATGAATGAATGATTGTTCATCTGTTTGTTTTAAAGGTAAAATTTACATGTAACTTCTTTCATTCTTTCATTCTTTGCAAAGTAGATCTCATCTTACTTGAGGGGCAAAATGATAATTGTAGTTGCCATGGAGATACAGAAATGAAATACTATGAATTTGAGCCTGTAGTCGGATTTGGTTTAATATCTAACCTACTCTAAATCATCATAGCTAAACTTTGGATGATTTAGTAGCAATTTATTATTCTCGTATTTAAAGTTTGATGACTTTACATTCTCCAAGGTGTTCATAGAGCAAATGAGTGTCTTTCCTTCCTTTTATCTATTCAGCGCTATCAAAGTATACCCGATCAAATGGTAGGACTGAAAGAGACAGAATAGAACTTCTCCAGGATGCAGAACCTTTGGATTTTAATGCAGACTCAATTAATGATGACCCTCTTGAATCGGACTCTGGAAGGTGAGGAATCTTATGTGGTATTTACAATGTATTCTGACCTATGACACCTCTATGAAATGGTTTGTTTTATAAACAAAAATTACCACTTTACCTAGCTCTTTTCCTTTCTTCCTTCTTCCCCATGATATGGTAATTGTTTTAAAACCACTTGAAACCTGAAAGCTTTCCATGTTTTAAAAAATGTCTCAGTAGGATTTGAGTTGAATATCATTTTATATGTTGGCATAATCTGAAAAATTCTGCATATATGCATATATTGCATATAAAAACAGAAACCTGGACAATGACCTGCATATGTTCAGTATAAGGTTTTCTCTAATATCCTAGAAGACTTTAGAAAGTTCACTTAATATCCATGTATAAAAACCGTCATAAAGGGCTGCAAGAAAGAAAGCTGACTATTACAGGACCCGTAGTTTCAGTAATACACCTAGGGATCAGATCTTGGAATAGCTGGAGTAAATTAAATCTGAAATTACTGAACAAAAAGTTCCCAGCTGAACAGTGTAGCTCTGTCTGTAATAGAGAATTCTGTGATTCTGTGGGTGTGACTGCAACAGCAAATTTCCTTAGTCATGGCATAGAGTATTTTTCATGACTGCTAAGATCTTCTCATATTTAAGAAACAAGTAGTACATTTTATGGGGGCTTTTTTATCTAGGTAGTTACGATGTAGAATCATTTAGTGATAAATAATTTAAATTCCTATATAAAATTTATAGTTTACATTATGTTTTAGCTACAACTAGCATGCCCAGTCCAACTAAAAAAAATCATAAATGGTTTCAGTTGACTTTTATCTATAACATCAAAAAATAAATGCCAAAATCGCACTATTGAATGACACTGCCAGGTTTTCAGATAATTTCAGCAATATTAGTTTATATCAACAACTAACTTGTGTAGGTCCAGTGTCACCACATTTCAAAAGCGGGTTCTTGTTAAGCATGAGAATTTAAAGATGTAGGCTAGCAGTTTTGTCAGCTGTTGATTTCTGTACAGCGAGAAAGGGGTAATAGTCTGCAAAAATAGGAATATACATATATCATTCTTTTGGAGCAAATACTTTCAGGTACAGTATCTGAAGTCTTCTGGCACCTATACAGATTTTGCAGAGTGGAACATTCTGAACTTTATTTTTCTTAAGAAAATCTGGAGCCACAGAGCTTAGTTGAGGGTTTTTTTAGGAACCTGCATTGATTTCATAGAGGTAATAAATCAAGAATAATTATATATGACATTTCAATTCACTTAAAAATAGCTTATGTAACATTGATTTTTTTTTTTTCAAACTGTAGCTCCTGTGGTAGTTACAAGTGTTTTAGGACAGTAAGAGCATTAGGAACACTAGGTTCTGGCATAAAGTCTGTTCAGGTTTTGGTAAGTACTGCAGAGAGGAAGTACACTGTGCTTTCACTGGGACTTGTACGTGCTTTTAAAATGCTTTTAAATAGATTTGACCAACAATTTGTGAGGCTTTTTTCCCACTAAGAGTGCAGCTATTTGTTCTCATTGTCTTTGAAACTCTATTTCTCCTAGGAATACCCATTGAGATGTACTGTTTATCACCCAAACTACTTTTGGATGCGGTTGTTTGTTTGATTTTAGGGGTTTGTTTGTTTGGGGATTTGGGGTTTTGGTGTTGGCTGGTTGGGTTTTTCCTTTGTTTGGGTTTTGCTGATTTGGAGGGGTTTTGTTTGTTTGGGGGATTTTTGTTTGTTGGGTTTTAGGTTTTTGTTTGGTTTGGTTTTGGGGATTGGTTTGTTTGTTTTCTTTTCTTTTCTTAAGAAAAAGTTCTGTTCAACAAAAACATTCAACTTCTTTTCTTTGTATCAGGAAACGAAGTTCTTTAAGACTCCCAGTATTCATATCACTGCTTTTCTTGGTCACATGAGATTTAATTTAATGACTGCCTATCAAATTCTCATGGAAACAGTAATTCAGTAGAGCTTCAGATCATGTAATTCGTTGAGATTGAAGGAGTAAGAATTCAGTGAGAGTTATATGTTTTCTTGGGTCTTTATTTTTCTATTTCCCTTGATACTTTTTCATATTTAAAATTTATTCTGCAGGTACCAGCCTGGTGGAAGATACCTGTCAATGTCTCGGAGCAAAATATTTGATGATGTCTAAACTCCTCAAAGCTAAAGAAAATTCACAGGAAATCTATTCCCTACTCATTGCTTGGAAAATACTGTATTTATGATATATCACTGAACCAGAGAAGATAATATTTCTTAAAAAAATTAATATGAAGGAACAACTATTTTGGAAACGCACCTGTATATGACAAGAATATGCTTCTTCTATTGTAGATATTGTTGTGCATCAGTGTAGGCTTTTGTGTCATGACCAAAAGGAGAAAAATATGAATTAAATTAATAGAGGGTAAACTTCATAAATATACCCAGGGCTCAACTTGCTGTAATATTTTAAGTTTTAGGAAGAGGATTTTTTCGAAGGATTTTTTTTTTTTTTTTTGTATTTTAACAGGTGCTGTGAGAGCATTTTAATGCATCCAAAGTGCAGTTTTATCTATTACTATAATAAACACTTTCTATATTCTTTTTTATTAGAACTTAATGCCTAGTCCAAAATCTACTGAATGAAATTAAGGCTTCTTTTGGCTTCAGTGGTCTTTGAATCATAGAATCAACTAGGTTGGAAAAGACCTTTTTAAGATCATGAAGTCCAACCATTACCCAGGACTGCCACCACTATACCGTATCACTGAGGGCCTCATCTACATGGTTTTTGAACACTTTAAGTTACCTGGGCAGCCTGTTCCAATGCCTGATTACCTGCTCTGTGAAGAATTTTTTCCTAATAACCAATCTAAACCTCCCCTGGTGCAGCTTGAGACTGTTTCCTCTTGTCCTATTGCTTGTTACTTGGAAGAAGAGGCTGACCCCCACCTCACTACAACCTTCTTTCAGGTAGCTGTAGAGAGGAATAATGTCCCCCCTGAGCCTTCTCTTCTCCAGACTAAACCCCCCAGGTCCCTCAGCTGTTCCCCATCACACTTGTGCTCCAGACCCTTCACCAGCTCCGTTGCCCTTCTCTGGCCCCGCTCCAGCACCTCAATGTCTCTCTTGCAGTTAGGGGCCCAGAACTGAACACAGGATTTGAGGTGTAGCCTCACCAGTGCCCAGTGCCGGGGAATGATCACTGCCCTGGCCCTGCTGTCACACTGCTGCCGATACAGCCCAGGATGCCGTTGGCTTCTTGGCAGCCTGGGCCCAAGCTGCTCAGCAGGGCGTCAGCCAGCACCCCCAGGTCATGTATCAGACCACGGTTAAGCAGAAAGATTGAATGGCAGGCTGTCTTCGTAAAGTCATAAACTATATGTTCCAGTATTTAAAGGATGGCTGCAAAGAAGATGGAGATTACCTTCTTATGTGGAGTCACATGGAAAAGATGAGGAGTAGTGGGCACAGATTACTCTTGGGGAGAAAAAAAAAATTTCACAATGAGAACATTCATTGGAATAACCTCCCCAGGGAAGCGGTGGATTCCCTGGCATGGGACACCTTTAAGATTCAGCCAGACAGGATGCTGGGACCTTGTCTAGACTGTGCTTTTGCCAGGAAGGGTTGGACCAGATGATCCTTGCGGTCCCTTCCAACCTGCTATTCTATGAAATTTGGTGGGATAAATTTTGAAGCAAGCTATATTGGTCAAGAAAGGCTATATTTTTTGTTTTCCAACATTATATGCAGATAAATAATTTTAGCATGTGTAAATATTTGAAATTGACTATGACCATAGTTTCACTGTCATATGAGCATATGTGCAATAGCAGGAATACGTTATCAAAGATATGATACCTGATTTAAGATTTTTACAGTTGTAATGGTTGAAAACCTTGGCACACTAGCATTTTTGTAACTGTAAAAGAAATACAATGTGAAAATTGAGTTAAATGCTGAAACATTATGATTTGCACACAACTCAGGCACGGCTTCATGTTGCAGAGTATCCCTTTAAAAGAAGGGAAATACATAGCATGAGTAGATAATGGTAAACACTTTTAATGTCCCAGATACCCTGGTTGCATTATGTATCTGTTTTTAAGGTGCCTGTATTTTGCAGTAACTTGTTGCAAAAAGAATAATGCTTATTCATTTGAATGCCATTCAAAAATGCCAATTATTAACAGTGTAAAAAAACTTCACATGAATTTCATTGGTGTAGATATATTTTTAAACTGTAGTTAGTTAAAGAAATTCTCAAATGTAATCATAAGGTAAAAGATGTGGTCAAATTCATTGTACCTTTGGAAACTTGCTTTATTTAAAATGTTTTATTACTGCAGTATGTCTTAAGTCTTTACCACTTGGGGATTTTCTTACATTCTGATTGCGAAGTTATGTTGAAAACTGAAAGAGAACATGTTTTTATTATAAATTCTTTATCATGCTTAAAAAGCAGACATCCCTTAAAGCAGCTAGGAATGAGTTATTGTGAAAAGAAAATTTTTATGAATGAGGTGTTCTACTGATTTTTAAGAATAGTCTTTGTTTCTGAAGTAATTGTTAATGGGGATCTAACTACCTCCTGTGATTTAGTACATCATGTGTTCTAACAGTAGTGGTATGTGTAATATATTGTTCTGCTTGTTTTAAAACACCTAATTGTTATTATGAAGGAGAAAAGAATACTCTATTTGTATAGAAATACTTATATTAATAAATTAGCAGACACGAAGTAATCGTCAGTTCTGTTCTTAGGTGAATACACTGAACGACAGCCATGTCCACATGTATTCAAGGGCATACAATTTCCAGATTACCTGTAAGAGGACACTTTGTTAGTTTTGGTATTTTTTATACTGTAAAAGCTTGATCAAAATCTTTTGGCGGTATCAGGGACTTGTAGTTAAGAAAATGAGACTCTTTTTATTCAGATTGTTCTTTAGCACCTTTTATGTTAGCACCTATTTAATTTATTTTAGATCTATCCTGAATTCAGCCTTATATGAAGGGGATTGTATATATTCATGGACATCCATCCACATGAATGTTCTTAGACTTGATATTTCTATTTTTAAAACTTATCTCTCATTTAATTGCCCAAAAGTTTAATTGTAAAAAAATCTTTGGATGAAATAAGGTTGAAGTTCTTTGTTTAACTCTTGAAAATGTCACTACAAAGGGATCTAATTCAGTGCTAATGGAAAAATTATAGAATGAATGTTCGTTTTTCTGAGTGCTTGTGAAGTATCATTACCTAGCCCCTGCTGACTTAAGAGAATTGGATCAAGCCTTCTTGGTCCTGGGTTTGTTGGTTTTTTTTCTTCCCTCTTAGAAATCAGTGGAATGGCTACAAACAGAATTTTCAGTGGAAACTTGGTCTGGATTTTATACATGAAAGCTAACTAGTCCCTGGTGTAAGCCCTCCGTGCAGTTTTCATTGGGATACAATAATTTAAGGACTTGACTGTATAAGTTAATGGCAGTGGGATTTCAGTTGCTAGCAGAAAGGCTAAGCTTATTGAGGTGGGAATCTACTGACCTTTTTTTGATGTTGCAGTGGAGTAATGGAGTTACCAATGGCTGCTTTGAGCCCTGAAAATCTCTTGAGAGTTCTCTGGATTGTGCTTGGAGTTTTCTGGTGTCACGTGCTCCCTGGGTGCTGGTTGTCTAAGTAAGGAGTTGATAATTGCTGACCAACAGTTACTCTTGCTCTAATTATACGCAATTTTAAGGAAAATTAATCTAAAGTTTTGAAAATTAATTACGAGTTCATATGAGTAAATTTGGAAGACTTCTAACAAAGATATAGAGAGTACAACTATAAAAGAACGCTGTAGAAATAAGGGATATGCCTGCACAGCATTTGCTGTGTGCTTAGGCTAGTTTTAAACTAGTTTGGTTACTGGTAGTACAAATAATGCAGAACCTGGGGTCTACGTGCAACCTGATGGGGGCTCTGAGCAACATGATCTTGTTGAAAATGTCCATGCCCATGGCATGGGTTGGAAGTAGATAATCTTTAAAGGTCCCTTCCAACCCAAACTATTCTATGATTCTGTGGCGATTCCCAGCCAGACTGTGGCAACTCTTGACAAGTTCTTTGCTACTATAGCTCTAATCCTATAGCTCTAATCCTAACAGTAACACAGCTAAAAGAAGTTAAAACTAGCTTTGGTATGTTTAAGAATTGAATATACTGTAGGCTAATAGTGTTCGTTCATCACATTTGATGTTCCAGATGAGGTGATTTAAAATGTAACTGCCTTGCAAACTGTACTTTTGGGAACTAAATGTTGGCATATTTATTATGTCAGTATATAGTTGTATTTATTTGCAGCTAAGGAATGTCACGTTATGTATTTCTTTAGTATTTCTCTTTCTGAATTACTGAGCAGTTAGGGCATACTTCCATTTCATCACAATTTTGCAGTTTCCTCTTAATTTGTGAACACCAAAACCAACACAAAACACCAAAAACCCACTGAAGTTAAGTAGAAGTGTTTGAATGTTGTCATGCCAAAGATTTAAACCAGCGGAAAGAATCCATGCAAGTTGTGATGAACTTTGAAAAGTGGGAGTGAAAACAGTAGCTACTTTAATACTGGGTCACTGTTGGATTTCATAAAAAGTGTGGATAGCAAAAATCTCTAGTCACACTTACGGCTCCTACTGGATTTGTAGTTCTGGGTTTTAGGCATTTAAAGATACACATATTCTGATATCTGTATTGGGAAATGAGTCCTTTCCATTCTGCTTGAGAAAGGTGCATCCCTTAGCTGTGAAGTGAGTGAGTTTTTTTGTGAGGGAAGGTGAAGGATATGCAAATTCTAGTCTGTGCTAACTTTGGGCAAACTATAATATATTTTATTATTTAGGTAGGATGGCATGTTAAGAAACAACAAACTATACTGCTGTAACTTACACTACTGGAAAAAGCATGGTATATAATCTACCTTATTTTGCAATCGAACACTTGTAAAATAGTGATTAACAGTATTAATGGGAATGGCAGAAAGCTGCTATCTTTTCAGTATTTATTGCTATTTTAAAACATAACCATGACAATTTTTACATATGAAGTGTTTAAAAAGTGATTACTCTGATTTGCTGTGGTTAGCATGGTTTATATTTTATTAAATTCATCTTGGAATACTGTAA